CTTCTAAAATCAGTCCCCGCTCAAGTCTATCGGTTATTCGTAGCATTAGGTGAAGCTCATTGATGACTATGTTTTCTGGAGGGATATCGAACAGTGGCAGAGATTAGCATCCAGGTTCTCTTGTCCAATTGGGCCCAAACTTTCTCTTCGTGCTTTGGGAATTGTAAGCGTCATAGAAGACAGACATGTTGCACCTACAAGCATAGTTGCACAGTGTTCATTTTTTAATATAGTTATATTCATGAAACATAGTAACATGTTGATTAACTATTGCAAAAATGTTTTAAAAGTTAATAGTGGTTCTTGCCTGTCTTTAATTTTTTGTGGATTAAACATTAGATGAAAGAATTGTTTGATGTTGCCCCTTTCATGCCCATTGCAACTAACAGGAATTATTGTAAAAAGAGAAGAAAAACATTTTAACAGTCACTTTTTAAGCCATGATATTTTCTATCTTAAATCAAAAACCATAAAGCGCATGGATTTCACTAACCTTGTAGTCACCTCCCAGATGGAAATGTAGGTGAACTTTATTTCCATCAATCTCCATGTATCCCTGCTCCACAAGCTTACTTATGGCATATCGGACATTTTTAAACCCCGTGTTAAGGGTCTCATAGTCTTCATATCCTTTAATTAGTGCAAAGGTATGGTTTCCTGTGAATAATGACACAAGGAACAAAACTAAACGAATGCAACATAATGAAATACAAGTTTGTGCAGTTACCATTGAGTCAAAATAATGATATTAATAAATACTACACCTAAAAGCAAGAAGTTACCTGAACTTAACAGCACACACTGACCTTCACCAAGAAGTGAAAATGAACACACAAATAGGAAGCTTTTATGGGACATTCTCACCCCGTCTCCAGATACTTTAACTTTTACCACAGGCTCTTTGTCAACTGAATTCTTGAGCTAAAAACAACAAAGTTATTTGTTACGTTTGCTATTGTAAATGACTAACCAAGCACTTCACCAAGTCTCAAGGTCTCCCTCTCTAGTCCCTAAGTAGCATTGTAAATACACTTACATGTTCTCTTATTTCTTTTTCCACCAGAAGCTTAAAAGCCAGTTCATCCCCTGGACAGATTCCTGGTGTCCTTGTGGGTTTCCGCAGGTCATCAATGACCTTCTGGCAAGATTCAACCAGGTACGTCTTTAGCAGTGATGACTCTTGTTATGTTACGAATGGTAAGCCTCCTGAGATATGGAAAACCTATCCATACTATGTAGGATGGCCCTGATTTTTTTTTCTCTTCAGGTAAGCTCTCAAAAGCATTTGTCTATGTCGGTAAATAAAACATAAAGCCGAATGTTTAATCCATCATTGTATGACTTGTATCTATGCATTTTTTAACTATTGGCAAAAAAATGGCATAACTCATGTTTTATGGCTGTTTTATTTTCTTAACACTCTGTACGTCAATTATATAACATGTTTTTTCTGGGTTAGCTCAACTTTTACAACTTTCAAACCATATTTCCTTTCAATTTCAGACAGATCCATATCATGAAGCAGGTTATTCTTATCAACAACTTGTATTGACCGTGGCACCAATCCATATGTTTCCACAAAAAAAACAACGCTTCTCTTGCCTTATCTCTGCAAAAAAATATTTGAATGAACAATAAATAATTAAACGAGAAATATTACAAGATCAGAATCAGTTAATAAAGGTTATCTACATGGTTATTTTTCTTATATCAAGGATTTTGTATTGTGTTTGTATTGACTATTTTGTATCCATGGAGACCGTCTGTTAAGATGTACCCTGTTTGAGATCATTATGAAATAAAAGTTATTTGGACAAGTGTCTCAATTTCTTGAGGTTGAAGCGACACCTTAATCCACGTCTCACCTTTAAGCTTTTTCCTCTTTTTGAGGTGGACTGGATCTTGTGCCGAAATCTCCGTTCGCCTTGCGCCGGAGCTTGCCCCACACGTTCGAGACCAGATTCCACCAGTCGGTATCCAGTCTTTTAAAATAATTTTTTGAAAAATTTTTCAAATAACTTTGAAAAAAATGTTTTTAATAATTCTTTTGACAATTTTTTAAATTTGTATTTTTTTTTATTTAGCTAAAACCGTGGCTCTCATAATATTTTTCTCACCTTACCCACAAGATTTTCAAATTTCCCTTGTTCCTGTTCGTATGTCCGGCCAAGCCTTTTTGGTCTTTGGCCCCATTATAGCCGCTAACTATGGCTTATAAATACAGGCGTTAAATTTTAACTTGTAAATTAAAACTCCCTGAAGAAGTCTACGACAGTTTGAAAAAACGCGTCGGAGAATATTGTTCGCAAAGTGCTGCTCACCAGCTCAGTTTTATTTCCAAAAAACAGCTCAAACAGTGTTTTGGGCCTTCCAGATTCTTCCCTCCATCTCCTACCTACCTTCGTCTTTTATTTGCAAATTGAACGTTGGGTAAACAACGTCAACGTATGGCGGCATCATGTGAAGAAACATTGGATGGTTGGGGATTTCGAAAAGAGATTCCGATCGCATACAGTTTGTGGAACGATCGGGGGTTCAGCGAGCTCTGAAAAGAGCTCCCGATCACATACAGTTTGTTTGGTGATCGGGGGTCCAACGGGCTCTGAAAAGAGCTCCCAATCATTAAAAGTTTGTGGGACGATCGTGGGTTCTGAAAAGAGCTCCCGATTACATAATTTATTTAAACAACGAATCAGATATTGCAAGGGTTGTTTTGAGTGATCAATCAAATTGCAAAGGTATGAAGGGTGAAAGGAAGGGCGAAGGGGGGGGGGTGGGTAACATGGTTTTCAAGGGGAACGGAGGAGGGATCAGTCTCTGCTAACAGAGTATTAAAGGGGACTATAGAAAATTGACTGCCTGAGAGCGTGGTTGTTCAGTGCGTAGCGTTATCCACCCTTCGAACAACCGGGGCCTGAAGAATACTACAGAGCCTTTGGGGGATCTGGTAAATTTTCTTGTGACTCAACCAAAAGTTTTCCACCAAAATTTTTATTTAAACGAGATTCTAGGCGCGGAAAAGACTTGCCAGTACATTACTTTCTGCAGAAAATTGCGAAAACATCAGTTTGAACTCTGCTGATATGGATTTCGAATATTTTTCCTTTAATCGTCCCTTAGAACAGACAGAATGCCTAACGATAAACTTGCGACTTAATTTTATAGCTTTTTAAGCAGTTTTGTCTTTTGCAGTTTTTTTTAGTCCACAAGTCTCGTGTCACTAAAATAGAATTTCTTGCGACTGCGTATTTCTTAGTACAAACTCTTAACGCTTAGAGCAATTAATTTCTCGTGTAAATCCTTGAGTTATTTCGGCTTTCATTTGGTTTTCCTTTTTCTTGAAAGTTGGTACATAATTGCCACAGAAACATCCTGCTGATGTAAATCAGTCAGTGACACAACTCACGTCTTGTTAATAAATGGTGGGAATTCACCAATTCTGCTTGAGAGGCTGGTCTCTCTCAAAGGACCGAAGGGAGATGGTTGTGCCTTTATCTTTTGACACAAATCAGAGTTATGCGAGTAACCAATGGTTATGGAAGGATGTGACTGAAAGGAGATATGAAGAATGGAGAATGGGAAGTGAAGAACGAGAAATGGGAAATGGAGAATGGGAAATGGAGGATGGGCAACGGGAAATGGAGAATAGGCAATGGAAAATGGAGAACGGGAAATGGGAAATGGAGAGTGGGCGATGGGAAATTGGAAATGGTAAATGGGGAACGGAGATGGGAGAATTGAAAATGGGAAACGGACAATGAGAAATGAATAATAGGCGATGGCAAATGGGAAATGGAGAATTGAGAATGGATAATGGAGATTGGAGAATGGGAAATAGAGAATTAGAGATGGAAAATCAGGAATTTGAGAAAGGAAAATTGAAAATGGAGAATTAGGGATAGAAAATCAGGTGTTCCCAGGGAACATTGATGACTCCTTTAGGATTGGAATTTCACTCATGAAAAAATGTCTGAAGCTGTATGCTAAGCTTTATTCATCAAATATTATTGTGGCTTCGCCTCTTGGACTGAGGATGATAATCATTGGGAGTGCAGGGTATTTCTATAAAACCATAAAACTATAAAACATTACTTATGTAAATTCATACATAGCAACTAGCCTGTATTAGAAACAAACATCCTTAGTCCCTGTGCTGTTTACTAAATCTCTCGAAAACAATCAAGCTTTGTTACTTTTTCCACAAAGAGAGAAAATCAAGCAAATTTGATTTCCATCAGATAAAAATGTGTTTATTTTCAAGGATTTTTGGGATAGTTGTATTTTTGTGCTTGATTTTCAATTTTGGTCTATTTGAGTCTATTATAACATTCCCAGTCTGTGCTAAGAGACTGAGACAAACAAGTCTCATTTATCAGTCGATCATTCATTTTAGTCCGCATCTTATTCCTACGTAACCTTTCCTAGTTCAGGTACCGAGGGAGATAACACACCAGCCATATATATTTAAGACTTGAACAGTTTTTATCTTGACTGGCAGCCCTATTAAATAAACAGTGATGCAGAACAAAGACAAATCTAATCAATTCCCAACTCGACTATCACTACAAATTTATGAAACGAATCATATGTTGCACTTAAGTTATATACTTGACTTAGTTGGCGGCCAAGAAGCTTTGTCAAACGTCTTCGGAACAGAGAGGACTGGGTTCTAGGCACTTACAACGGCATTCCAAAGCTGAACCATTCCGACACGCACCAACCATTTAAATAAGTAGCCTTTTCAATTGGGACGTTAGGCCCAAAGTCGGGCAGATTTTTGTATCCCCAGCATTGGCAAGCTAAGGCAAAAACCCTCGACGCAAAGGATACGCAACCTGTCCGATCTTCTAAGCAAATTTTTTTGCATTCCCCTCTACAGTCTTTTTTCCTCTGTTCACTGGGGAGACCCTTTTTTATTCGTATTGTGTCTATCCATTCATGCCTTGGAGGTCGTTCGTCTGAGGCAAGTAACTTGACTTCTGACTTCGAGTTACAGATTTCTGGAGATCTACTCTGCACTGAGATAATAATTAAGAAAATCAATTCGTTAGCGGCAAGATGATCGGGGATCTGGGTTTTACAGTAGTGGTGCTAGCATTGGGATATCTATTTTGTGATGATATGATTTCGTTCGCATTCTTTCCGATTCCCTCCTTTTCCTCTCTAACCCCGGCCCAGTACTCCTCCGGGCTTTAATTTTCCCAGGCTCCCGTCCCCTGTCCACTACACTATCTGATTTACAGATTTGCATATTGGGAAATCTTACCTAGAATCACGATGGACAGCAAGAGTAAAGGAACAAGAATCAATCCAGTTTGAGCCATTCTTCAGGTTCCTGTAAACAACAACAAAAATGTTCGAAATTATGGGTCTTTTTGAGCTTAAAACTCTTGAAGTTCATGTTTACAACGAAAGAAATGGAGTGACTTCCTTCTCAGATACCATGATTGCCTCCTGTGTGCCCAAGAGTCATGATTCATGTCTTTTCGCCCAACCATGACCATCTGATGCAACAGTTTTAACACAGAAGTGTAGTCGGAACTACTCACCAGATTAAAAGGAGAAATAGAAACGATGAAACAATAGTTTTATTCGCAATTTGAGTACCGTTCCTCAAATATCATTTTCAATTCCGAAATGGTTCATTAATAATCATCTTAAATTAGGTCAGCTTTGCTCGGTCTTTTCAAACTTCGAATTTCGAAAACATGACTCTTCAATACTGTTCACTATTGAACTGTGTTTGCACTTCTTTTAAGTGAAACAACAAAAAGACTTTCTTGCGGGCTTTTTTCATCAAACATTGTAATGGAATAGAGAAGCGATTCTTCAAAGAGCGTAAACAATAAGTTTCACCCTTGACTTCCATTAATTTGCTCCCCTGTTGAGAAAGATCTAGACTTTATGCGAGCTTTTCAAAAGTCAGCCTTGCGGCTTAGCTCTGACAATGCTTCCAGACTCCAACCAATACATTGACGTATGGCCATGACAATTGCTTCTTTCTTAAACCATTCTAGATGGAAAATAGATACTTAAAAGCATGCCATGTTAATAGAAATCCGGGTTTCCTGTGGCTATCTCCAAGAATGATAATGGGTAGAAGTATTTTGAGTTCGTGCCTTGGGGGAGGGACAAAGACTTAATTAATCAAAGTAAAGTGCCCTGTTTTTCAAAGCCTTTTATAGACGCAACAAATAGTTGAGTAAGACAGTAACTTTTGATCTGTCTTCATTAAAAAATAAAGGGCGGAAGTTTCTAAAGAAACTGTGATATTGCGTCGGTGAGGGAGTATAACAATATAACTTAATTTTATCTACTAAATTGATAATGTAAATTGGCCACCGTAAAGAGTATCCTAGCTGACCTCTCGAGCGTTAGCGCTTTGTAACATATTACCTTTAAAACCTGACAGAAAATCAGTGCAGGATGTCTGATTACATTAGCCTCCGAGGCTCGAAAGCTAGTCGAAACAGTTAAAAAACTGATCCATGATAAGGCATTCTGGACTATTGTTAAGCGAATTTCGTATCCATCGACGTATCTTTGTGTTAAAAAAGTCTTAAACCTAGGATTTAAATGTTGCTTTTAGGTATTTAGCTTCTAATTAACATACCATGACCAAGACTATGAAGTCAAAACAGCGAAAAATCCAATAAAAATGGAACGCTGAAAGCTTTCGGGGATAAAAAAAAGGCTCAATTTCTATAAATTTCAATTGTATCGTCTTTATTTGAAAGTCAAAAGGGAAAACAGATCATGTTGTAGGAGTCTTCTTAGGCGTAAAACGAGCTAAGTGTTGTTTGAGATCATTTCTCAGGCAAGGCGGGTGCGGCAAATACAGAAGCAAGCTGCCAGAGATTTGTCAAAGATTTGCGCTTATCGATACCTATAATGGAAAATATTCAGTGTAAATCATCAAAAGGCAAAACAGATCATGTTATGGGAGCCTTCTTAAGCGTATAACGAAGTAAGTGCTCATTAAGATTATTTCCCAGGCGAAGCGGGTGTAGCAAATACAAAAGCGAGTTGCCACAGATTTGTCAAAGATTTGCACTTATCGATACCTATCATGGAAGAGATTCAGTGTAAATCATCAAATCAACTTACTTGTCAAATCTTCAAAATCTTAGTTTAGTTTCTCGATCAGTCCTTTCGAACTCTCAGATTCTCCTGAATAGCTCAGGTGTAGCTGGCAACTCTTTGGGGAGTGCCGGTATGTTTGTGAATGAGACTTTTATGCAGTGAAGCCTGCATCATAAAGAATGTCTCATACTATTTAAAAACCTAGAAAAAAGCTTGAGGCAAGATGCATTATAGGATTTCGCCCGACCATGACCATACGATTCAATAGTTTTGACACAGAAGCGTAGTTGGAAATATGCATTAGATTTAAAGGAGGATTAGAAAAAAAGAAACAATTGTTCTATTTGCAATGAGAGAACCGTTCTTCAAATAGCATTTTCAATTTCGAAATGGTTTATTGATAATCCCCTTAAATTAGGTTAGCTTTGCTTGGTCTTTTCAAACTTCGAATTTCGAAAACATGACTCTTCAGAAACTGTTCACCTCTGAATTTTGCTTGTACTTCTTTTAAGCAAACAAATAAAAACATTTTCTTGTAGGCTTTTTCATCAAAAGAGTAAAGGGGGTAAGTTTCTAATGAAACTGTGGTGCTTTTTGGATGAGAGAGAATAACGGGGTAATTCGTGTCATCAACTGAGTTGAAAACGTAAATTGACCAGTTTTTGCGGTGGCCAACTTACGTTTACAACTCAGTTGATAACACTGAATTACCCTTTTTTTATAAAAAATTGCGTTGGTATAGGGAAACGATTCTTCAAAGAGCGTGCACAGTAAGTTTCACCCTTGACTTCCATTGATTTACTGCCTTGCTGAGTAAGTTCTAGACTTTATGCGAGCTTATCAAAAGTCAATCTTGAGGTTTCGCTTTGCCAGTGCTAGAAAACTCCAATCAACACAGGGATGTATGGCCATGACAATTTTTTCTTTCTTAAACCGTTCCAGATGGAAATAGGTACATAAAAGCATGTCATGTTAATAGAAATTCGGGTTTCCTGCGGCTATGTCCAAGAATGATTATGGGTAGAAATATTTTTTGTATTCGTGTCTGGAAGAGAAACAAAGACTTAATTAATCGACGTAAAGTGGTCTGTTTTTCAAAGCCTTTTATAGACGCAACGAAGAGTAAAGTAAAACAGTAACTATCAATCTGTTTTGATCCAAAAATAAAGGGCGGGAGTTTCTAAAGAAACTGTGGTACTGCGTCGGTGAGGGAGTATAATAATATAACTTACACCGTAAAGAGTATCCAAGGTGACCTTTCGAGCGTTAGAGATTCGTCAGTCGAATGCTTTACTGAATAAAGGTTTGCTATGACGATCTCAGATAGACAGCTTGACCGGCTCAATGGCATATTACCTTTAAAAACTGACAGTAAATTAGTGTAGGATGTCTGTTCTCCGAGGTTTGAAAGCTAGTTGAAACAGTTATAAGAATTGATCCATGATAAGGCAGTCTGAGCTATTGTTGAGCGAGATTTTTTATCCATCGACGCATCTTTGTGTTTAAAATGTCTTAAACCTAGGATGTAAATGTTGCTTTTAGGCATTTAGCATATAATTGAATACTATGATCAAGACTATACGGTCAAAAAAGAAGAAAATCCAATAAATATGGAACCCTATGAGCTTTGAGAGACGAAAAAAAGATTTGAATGTCAAAAAATTTCAGTTGTATCGTCTTCCTTCGAGAGTCCAAAAGCAAAACAGATCATGTTGTTGGAACCTTTTTAGACATAACGAAGTAAGCGCTCATTCAGATTATTTCCCAGGCAAGGCGGGTGTGGCAAATATAAAAGCAAGCTGCCAAAGGTTTGTCAAAGATTTGCACTTATCAATGCCTATAATGGGAAAGATTTGCAAATCATCAAGTCAACTTACTAGTCAAATCTTCTCAATCTTAGCTTAGTTCCTCGATCAATCCTTTCGAACTCTCAGATTCTCCTGAAATTGCTCAGGTGTAGCTGGCAACTCTTCGGGGAGAGCAGGTATGTGTGTGAATGAGACTTTTATACAGTGAAGCCTGTATTATAAAGAATGTCTGATACTATTTAAAAACCTAGAAAAACGCTTAAGGCAAGATGCGTTAAAGCTTTTCGCCCGACCATCCGATTCAATAGTTTTGACACAGAAGCGTAGTTGGGAATATGCACCAAACTGAAAGGAGAATTAGAAACGATGAAACAATAGTTTTGTTCACAATGTGAGTACCGTTCTTCTATAGCAATTTCAATTGGGAAATGGCTCATTGATAATCATCTTAAGTTAGGTCAGCCTTGCTCGGTCTTTTCAAACTTCGAATTTCGAAAACATGACTCTTCAGAAAACCGTTTACTATTGAGTTGTGTTTGTACTTTTTTTAAGCAAAACAACAAAAAGATTTTCTTGTGGGCTTTTTCATCAAAAATTGCATTGGTATAGAGAGGTGATTCTTCAAAGAGCGTAAACAGTAGTTTCAGCTTTGACTTCCATTAATTTGCTCCCCTGTCGAAAAAAGTTCTAGACTTTATGCGAGCTTATCAGAAGTCAATCTTGCAGTTTAGCTCTTACAATGTTACAAACTCCAACCAACATAGGAACGTATGGCCATGACAATTTTTTATTTCTTAAACCGTTTCAGATGGAAAATAGATACATGAAAGCATGCAATTTTAATAGAAATCCGGGATTACTGTGGGTATGTGCAAGAATGATTATGGGTAGAGGTATTTTGAGTTCGTGCCTTAGGGGAGGAAAACAAACATTTAATTAATCGAACTGAAGTGGTCTGATTTTCAAAGCCTTTTATAGACGCAACGAAAAGTTGAATAAAGCACTGACAATTGATCTGTTTTGATCCAAAAAAAAAGGTAGAAGTTTCAAAAGAAACTGTGGTACTGCGTCAGTGAGGGAGTATAATAATTAAACTTGGTTTTATCAACTAAGTTGATAATGTAAATTGGCCACCGTAAAGAGTATCCAAGTTGACCTTTCGAGCATTAGCGCTTCATCTGTCGAATCTTTTGCCGCATAAAGGTTTGTTATGACCATGTCGGATAGACAGCTCAATCGGCTTCGTGGCATATTACCTTAAAAAACTGACAGTAAATTAGTACAAGATGTCTGTTTACATGAGCTTACGAGGTTTGAAAGTAAGTAAAAACAATTACATAAACTGATCCACGATAAGGTAGTCTGCGCTAAAGTTAAGCGAGATTTCGTATTCATCCACGTATTTTTGTGTTTGAAAAGTCTTAAACCTAGGATTTAAATATTGCTTTAAGGAATTTATCATCTAATAGACATACAATGACCAAGACTTTGAAGTCAACAAAAACATTTTCTTGCGGGCTTTTTTTTCATCAAAATTGTATTGGTATAGAGAAATGATTCTTCAAAGAGCGTAAACAACACGTTTCACCCTTGACTTTCATTAATTTGCCCCTTTGTTAAGTAAGTTCTAGACTTTATGCGAGTTTATCGAAAATCAATCTTGCGGTTTAGCTCTGACAGTGCTACCAAACTTCAACCAAGATAATGGGAAAGATTTGCACAGGGATGTATGGCCATGACAATTGTTTCTTTTTTAAACCGTTCCAGATGGAAAATAGAGACATGAAAGCATGTCATGTTAGTAGAAATCTGCGATTACTAGGGTTATGTGCAAGAATGATAATGGGTAGAAGTATTTTGAGTTCGTGCCTTGGGGGAGGGACAAAGACTTAATTAATCTAAGTAAAGTGGATTGTTTTAAAAGCCTTTATAGACGCAACGAATAGTTGAGTAAGACAATGAACACTGATCTGTTTTGATCCAAAAATATGTATTTCAAGTATGTCACTTATTTTCTTGCAATTTTGACGTCTTCTTCTAAATAGAGGCACGTCAACAGGAAATATGGTATTTTTAATAATAAATAAGCAATACTGTGATTTCGTCTTAGTCTTCGTCATCGCCCATTAGTTAGGACAATAATTAGAGGCTGATTATTATTTGATATAAGAACTGTAAACATTAAAGAAACAAACAAACATTTTTCTGTTATTCAACAGCTAACCAGCCAGTGCTAGTGCGTTCGGCCAGTGACACGATTCTGTGCGCTTTCCCATCGTATGGTATGTCAATAAAATTATGCTTAAAACATCTACTTTATTCTAAAATGATTATAACTTTAAACCAAACGACTGCATCTACCCATGTACAATCCAACGACTCTTTTTCAAGAGACGACTGACAAATAATGAAACAAAAAGAGCGAGATAACTACAGACTGAGCAGTTCACTGGTTCTTGAGCAGAGAACGCTTCGCAGCTCCAAGAAGAGAAGTCCACTCAATTTTTTTTCTGTATTTTTCCACACATTTAAGGGGATTCCTATTGATCTAACTGTCGCCAGAAGTTTATGGAGGTGTTCCTGTTTTTCTCTGATAAGCAGGTTTGTAAAAATAGAAAATCACAAACCTAATCCCAGTCGAGTACTTCTAAAATCAGTCCCCGCTCAAGTCTATCGGTTATTCGTAGCATTAGGTGAAGCTCATTGATGACTATGTTTTCTGGAGGGATATCGAACAATGGCAGAGATTAGCATCCAGGATCTCTTGTCCAATTGGGCCCAAACTTTCTCTTCGTGCTTTGGGAATTGTAAGTGTCATAGAAGACAGACATGTTGCACCTACAGGCATAGTTGCACAGTTTTCATTTTTTAATATAGTTATATTCATGAAACATAGTAACATGTTGATTAACTATTGCAAAAATGTTTTAAAAGTTAATAGTGGTTCTTGCCTGTCTTTAATTTTTTGTGGATTAAACGTTAGATGAATGAGTTGTTTGATGTTGCCCCTTTCATGCCCATTGCAACTAACAGGAATTATTGTAAAATGAGAATAAAAACATTTTAACGGTCACTTTTTAAGCCATGATATTTTCTATCTTAAATCAAAAACCATAAAGCACATGGATTTCACTAACCTTGTAGTCACCTCCCAGATGGAAATGTAGGTGAACTTTATTTCCATCAATCTCCATGTATCCCTGCTCCACAAGCTTACTTATGGCATATCGGACATTTTTAAACCCCGTGTTAAGGGTCTCATAGTCTTCATATCCTTTAATTAGTGCAAAGGTATGGTTTCCTGTG